TAATGGAATTATCGGAAGGACAATAACCATCAAGGTGATCATCAATTTAGCCTAATTCGCAGCAAAATGATCAGTTCTTTCACAATATCACTTTTGGCATTATTGTTTGCTCTGTGTGATCCCCTTCATAGGGGCAGTTGGCTCGATTGGTGCGTTACCCTCCCTGGGCCAAGAATATAAGAAACTAATTGTATCGAGTTTCTCTCAATTAGGGTTGCAGACGAATCGAACAACTCGAGTCAAAGTTCAATTCGAGCTGGCCAAATTGAAATCGAGTTTGAACTCAAACTTAAAATATTAAGTTCGGTTCGTGAGCTCGAGTATATATATATATATATATATATTAAAATTTTTATTTTAATAGTAAAATTACATATATATTTCTAATATTTTATTATTTATTAAGAAAAAATAATTATTTGTTGTTTTTATTAGATTCTTTTCCAGAAACTCGAGCTAACAAGTTGCTCACGAGTCAGAAATTCGAGCTACATTACAAGCTGCTAGCGAGTCAGAAATCAAGCTACAACTCGCGAGTCTTGTCGACTTGAGCTCAACCTGGCTTTTCTTTGATTGAGTCGAGGTTGAGCTCAATTTTTTTGACTCGTCAAGTTCGAGCCTACCTGTTATTAAATCGAGTTCGACTCGATAAGTCCAAAATTCGATTCGACTCGACTCGTTTGCAGTCCTACTCTCAACACAACTGAACCTGCCAGCAACTCCACAGTGAGTATATCCACCTTAAGTAAAATTACGGAATCTGGGAGCACTTTACAACTTAAAAAGAAAAAATGGTTTTCCCGTTGCGTACTATAACAAACTGGCATACTTGGAAGGCGGTCATCCAAGAACCAAATTTTCGTCTTACTGCAAAACTCTCCTACCATTTTGTATCATCTAGCCTAGTGACTGCTTTCGCTATAAGCCTGATCTGCGGTTGCTCCGGTAATTTTAAATTTAATATGAACACATCTGAATATGAAGTCAATGAAACGTGCTGTATATTAACAAAACAAAAATAAAAGTTTAAAAAGTTTTAGGGTCCGTCAGATGATAAGGTAATACTACTATAACTCAATAGCAGTTTTGTTTGGAGAGAGAGACCACGATGGTGCACAGTGCATACAAATGCGTTGCCGCTCTGAATTACAAACTACTACGGCGAGTCGAATGCTGTAAATAAGTATTACCTCTTCTGATGCTCTTTCTGGACAAGCAACCCGTTGCCTAGATCAACCATGAGAAGAAAGCAGCAGCAGGAAGAGCTTGGCAACTAATCCAGGTATCTCTTATGGTAAGAAATGAAATGGAGATGAGAGAATCTTAAAGAACTAACTGCAGAGTGGTATCCCTTCTCGCTTCAAAGTGAGCATTGGCAAAATAGTTTTATAGAGAAGATTCTACATAAGATCTGCTTCTGCTAGTCGAACTTTAACTAAGCTTTCAATGCTCAGGTCATAGTACTTCCCTTTGCCGACAAGATTTTTCAAGCCACAGACTGTTATTGTTTTCCTGATGGCTAAATTCCCAGCTTATGTACCTTTTACACAAGGAAGGAACGGTAAGGGCTAAGGTTGCCCACCATTAAAAACTCTATGCAGATACTAACCAGTGGTCCTATACTGGGGACATCTTCTGTTTTTAGTAGCTCCTCAGATCTCCGCATCCAGATTTGGATCAGCTCATTCAAACTGCTTCACAACGATAATTGATAGGGAAGAAGTTCTTTCTCAACTGCCCCCACCCCACTTTCTCCTGACTCGCGAAAATGGAAGATGCTACTAACCTGTCTAAACTGGAGAGCGAATGAATTGCATAGTTCAAATGCTTAAGCCAAATAATTAGACAGTATCGTAAAATCAATTTGCACCCCAAAAAGGTAGTCAAGCATATACATATGAAATTTCTCTCATCCGTCTACTCTGCCTCTCCACTATATCTCAACGTCATCTGTTTACTTGAGTTTTCTGCAGCATCCAACTGACATGCAATCTTCTTATATGGTCTATGCTGCAACTTCTATTTGAATATTTCTACCCATGCCCCCCCCCCACCTGGATCTCTCTCTCTCTCACCCCAACAAAGAAAGAATATGATGTTCGTGCCTCTCATTTCCCATTTTCCTTCAAAAAACCTTCACATGCCTAACTTAATAGCAATGATATTGACTTAACATTGATAGCATTTCTCTTTTGCTTTTAAGGGAACTGTGATGTCTAAAAATGATCAAAGTATTTTTGGTTCATCTTCTTGCAAGAGGTAGCTCAATTTTGAAGTTGATACTCATTCAGATACTGAATACCAGTGCCAAGATTTCTAATTCCCTAACACTCTCTTAGTGTCCCTTTAGTGAAGAAGTCCTAGGTAGGGCTCCTGAACGAGCTAAGAGAGTGGGGTGAGTGATCCTCGGGTAAGGGTCACGAACAGGTGGGGGAAGGGGGGGCGCATGAGGCTTAATTCCTAATCTTCCTCTTCCTCTTCTCTTGAGTTATTTACTACAACAGACACAAATATCATCGCAAAAATATAGCCAGATGACATGCAGCATTTGTTCTCAACTGAAAGACAAGAACCAAATAAAGTGGAATGCATTTTTACAAATATAAAAGAAGCATGGGCCATTTTGGAAGAAAGTCCAAGAGTTCATTGAGAAAACTGGTGTGTGACCCCAACAAATTTGGAACACATCCCAACAACAATTACTTCCTACCATATACAGCAGCCAGCACTAGCATTTCTAGATATTCAGTGTATGCTATATACAAGGGAGATTCTTACTCAGATGCAAAGAGCTACAATCCAATTTGTACCATAAGTATCGACGCCCTTAGATTAGCTGTAGCAATATAGCCAACAATAGTGGACCGAGTAGTTGACAAGCACTTTTGACAAACAAATTAAACTCTCTCATTATCATCCATTCTGAGTGGGGACATTCTGATTTCAGCACAAAAACATGAAAGAGAATTTCAATGTATGCACTCAACACCCCCGCATATCACTAACCAAATCCCAAATAGCACAAGACACAGCACTATGTCGATTGCAAGGACAATCCTCACTTGACGGCACCATCTTTTCCGGAAATTTAGAGAATTTGACCTGAACCTCATTGAACCAAAATCCTTCTGCAATGATACTGGAGAAACTGATGTACCCTGGTTGTTAGCGTCCAAAGCTCCCAAATCAACCCTAGCTCCTCTTTCTGTGGATTTACGGTGTTCCTCCAACTCAATATCCCTGATACCAATTACATGTTCCTTCATCTTCTTCTTCTCTTGTTTGCTAGACTTGCCCAATAAAGGGGCTTTTGTCGAAGCCCCAGCTTCGGATGTGCCAGGTCCGTGGTTACTAGGTGAAGGAGTGAGCTCAGCGGCGTGATAGGGAGGAGTCTCTCCTAGCTGCTGCTCAGCAGCACCGGTCCTAGAGACATTTTCCAACACAGCAATTAAATGACGAATAACTGGGACTAGTTGGTCTTGTAAACAGGTTGAGTTGAGATTTGACAGGTTCCTAGTCGAACCCTTCTTAGTTGCCTTCTTGAATTCATCCCTCAAATGTTGGAGGAACTTAAGAACCCCAATTTTAGTTAAACCCTCATCAGCAATGGCAAAATACACATAGCCGTCTTCCATGAAAAACCCAAAAGTCTTTTTAGCCATGGTTTGAAAATACCATCTGTGGTAAGAAGGGGTTCTCTCCAAGCATAATACCGCCAAGTTGTCAATTTCAGGGTTTCCGCCATTATAAGAGTAGACAACTCGATCACCCTTTGACACGCAGCAGTATTGAACAGTGGTGTGAAGTGATCCCATTAGTACAAAATTAAACTATTTCTCAACATTGCCCTATATATTCAAGAAGAAGAATAATGTAAAGGAGGAGGGCCAAAATCGAACTCCAGTTTAGCCCGCCACAAAGCTCAGCTTTTTGAAGTCCGGAAGGATACAAAGCAGTCAAGATTTCGAGAGAGAAATAGCAGCCCACAAATTGTCAACAGGAGGTGGCACGCAAGAATACAACCGAAAACCATTCAAGGGATCTGGATTCCCGAAACTTATATCCCTGCAACTTATAACAACCACAACCGATTAAAAAAAAACCCAAATTACGAAACCAGCTTAAGAAATAGTTGGGATTATCCAAACGATGATTCAACAAAACTCGATTAAAGAAAAAAGAGGTAAAAAAAAGTTCTCGAGTCTTTGAGAACACCTACCTCAGAACTAGTTTTTGGCAAAACGGCAACAACCTCCCCGTGACCTCCTGAGAGTTGCTTGAGAGCTGAAGAGGTGATGAGAATCGCGTATATATCTAACAAAGCCAATAATTGGATGAAAATAACAGTAGCAGGCAGATAAGGTAGTCGGTACCCGCACGCATATCTCTCTGACTGTTTAAATCCCGGTCCCGGACCCCACTTTCAGTAGATTCGCCCCCAAATTTGCCTCTTTTACATGCGATGGGATCGCCGACTCTGCAATTGCGGAATTGCACCCTGCAATATAGACATTACTAAATTAAATTAAATTAAGACACTAAAATAATTTTTTGAAACAAATTTTGAAGCGAAAAAATTTATTGTGTTTTCTTTTGCACGTTTGTCCCGTTTGGATTACTATTTTTTGAAAATTTTATAAATATATATATACACATATTATAGCGATTTTGATATACGTAAAATAAGAAAATGATTAAAAAATGTGTTAATAAAAAACGTTAAAATTTTTTCTTTAGAGAATAGCAATCGAAATATGGATATAATATTTACGTTTAATGTTTATATTTAGCTATACTGCAATGCAATTGCCTGCCATTATCAATTTCTTAATCCATTTACTGGACCGTGACTCTGGGATAATTACGTCATAATTGTGCACCGGTACTTACTTACATTCTAGTCTCAACTTCTAACTACTAACTTAGAAAGGTTAATTCTAAAGAGAATTCTGACTGCGACAAAAGTAAAAAAAAAAAAACTCTTGACTTTGGAGTGCCAATTTCAGCCAAATATAAATCCAAGGACAAGTTATTGTTTCTATTTTTTAAAATGTCAATCGAGGACTTAGACACTCCATATTTTGATTTAAATCTTGGCATGCAATTTCTCTATGGATTTAATCATAACAATAATTTATGTCTTTCTTTTTCATTCTCTTTTTATTGCATCCATAACAATTCAGCCGTCCTGCCTTAGAAGAAGCTGCTGTGAAAGGGAGATAATTGCTTCAGATTTTTAAGGCTCGTAAACCAGCTATGGACTGTCAAAGTCAATATGGTGGGCTTCAATTCAACTGCCTCGCTGTATGGACTGGAGGGATAGCTAGTAGCTTCTTCATCCCTGGATCCACATATCTGAACTTCATTCCAAAAGTAAGCTGCTTCAGCAGAAACAACCCTGTGACTTCCACAATCCCACAATTCGCCTTTCTAGTAGTGTTCACTACTACTCCTCATCATTTCTGTATCATCATCTATGTTATGCACGCCCCCTTCCTCTTCTTCACTGCGTCTTGTCAGAATTCTTTCACCAGTGTTGCAGTAATCATTATCTTGGCCGCTGTCTTCACAGGGGCGGGAGCCATTTTCAGGAGACAATTCACCACCATCTGGAATATTAGAAGATATGTCATGGCTTGCTAACTGGATATCAGGTGCTTCAATTGATGCTTTAGCAGACACGAGGAGGGATTGGCGGCATAGCGGACACGTAGTATGAGTCGATAACCAGCTGTCAATGCAATCCCTGTGAAATGTATGTCCACAAGCAGGTATCTGTTGAAGCCGTTCCTCTGCTTGATAATCCCCGAGGCACACTGAACATCTGTCACACAAAACAAGACAACTTTTCAACGAGTTTCGCTAGTTGGTACTGGTGCGATATGATGTACTTTGTAGGCATGCAGTCCTGGAGCCTTCTGTTTTTTTGGAGCATTTCGTTACTCGGCTTTGGCACTACCATGATATGATGTGCTTATCGGTCATCTTAGGACAGGTAGATCTGCCTTATCGTACTTTCATTTCTCTTAAATTTTGTTCAAGCAATGAATGTACTCTACAGTACTAGTGAATTTCAACCTTTATCCACCAAATCCAAGGATGAGCTTAAACACACACACCTCTCAATAGTACATTACAGGGAGAGCATAATTTCTTGATTTTTATCTAACAGGTGGAAACAAATTGCCTTGGAATAAACACCTAAAACCCCACATTTGTAGCCTCCACTAATCAATCATCAAAAGCTTATTTGTGCGCATCACTCATGTTGATTGATTTAAGTATCAGCAGGCCAAGCTGACGTAGGACAAGGGACAGAACACGTGCCATAAACAATCAAAAGGCTTTATATGTAGAAGAAAAGGTCATAACATGGATGGATATTATTCCATGTTTGAGGAAGCGAGATATTTTCTTTATTTTCACCTGTTTGAGAAATGAATGCTTGATAATTAACTATGCAGTCATCTTCAAAGAGTATTTCAGCGTCAACACTTAGAAAAGAGAAGTCGAATCGCAACAAAAATACGCTACTCTGTTGCTCCTGCATTACATGGGGTATAGCAGCTCTTTAAGCCAAAGACCTATAAGTCATACATACCAGGGATAATGCCTAGAATTTGAGACAACTGTGGAATGACGACACTAAAAGCTCTCTGTTTAGATATAGATGCCTGAGGAACTACGCATCACAAAACTTTTGGATGATGTTCCAAAGAAGTGGTCTGTCTACATTCTGAAGTAGTGTAATTTTAAGGCTCTACACTTTTAATCTAAAATGCTATCCAAAGCCTGATTTCCAAATCAAGAGTAGGTAAAAATTCTGTCCTCTTTTATACCTAGCAATTCGCGTGATGCTGCAGTCCTCAAATGAAACGAGCGGTCAAAGTTCCTTACTTTTTGCACAGGACAAAAGTCACATAGATAGAACTGTGAGTATTGGTGGGCAACCAACTTCATACAAGCCCACGCCCTCAATTTTGTTGAGCTTGAGATAGAAACATTATTGTAGTTGAAGCTTGCAAACTTATTAAGCTTTTGCAAGAATGTAATAAGATTAATACATGACCACTGAGCCTTATCGAACTCAATCTCTACCTATAACCATTCAGTCACCTCCTCTTACCACCATCCCAATAACAAGAACAATTACGTCGTCATAGCAGCGCACTAACCTATAGCAGCAGATTCTACTGTTGATTTTGTGTTATTAACCTTTTTTTTTTTTCATAGAGTGGAAGACAAGCTATACATAGAGTGGTCTCAATGACTAACGGCCAGAAATTGAACGGCATATTGTACTTTGTGTTTGTGCTAGTAATTGATAATGGCAATTTGGTTGACGGAGGAATAAAAAAAAATTATATAAGTCCATGGAGCACTTACTGCGTGTCTTTGACGGAAAAACTTTCCTTGAATACAATCACGGGCAGCATCTCCCTGACCTCCTTCTTTAGCCCCCCAGATTCAGCCTGCAAAATTAATTGATATTCCAACGCTTACTACAATCAAGCAAGCTCCAGCCCATCGGATAGGAAGAAAGAAAATAGTAGTACTAGTGAGTGGGGCAGGCAGGTAGGTAGAGATAGAGATAGAGATAGAGATGAATAAAATACCCTGGAGGAGGAGGAGGAGGAGGAGCGGAAAGAAGAAGAAGAAGAGGCGGGCATTGTGAGAGAGGGCCAATCAAGCCTGCGACGGCGGAGATAGAACAAGTAGAACAAGGAAAGGAGGACGAAAGTGAAGAAGATTGGGACAGAAAAAATGAAAGCTTGATAGAGTCTCAACTCAGCCGAAGAAGAAGAAGAAGCATTTCCACCACCTCCGACGACAGCAGCAGCAGCAGCAGCAGATGTAGCTGTTTCTTGTGGGTCCGAATATCTACTAATACTAGTCTTACCACCTCCACCTCCACCTATGCCGCCACCTCGTCCACTGTGAGACATAATAATTACTACTATGAGCTGTATCAGCAACCAATTTCCCTGGTTCTTGGTTTGGAAATCAAACCTCTCGTTCACATGTTGTCAATAGTAGAATGCTGAATTTAGTGAGTCGGTTACACCCACTGTGCGCTCCCCCCCCCCATCTTTTTTCTCCCGGGGGACCAAATGCTTTCTATGCTATATTAGAGAGAGAGAGAGAGTGTGTGTGTGTGTGTGTGTGTGCGTGTTTAGTTTGCAGGTAAAGTGAAGATGGGAGGAGGGGTGAGGGGTGGAGCTGATGATAGAAACAGATCTGGGCACCAACGGTTCTCTGCTGTGTTACGACACAGTACTATTTCTTAGCAGCCAACTCCTCCCTCTAGTCTGTACAGTGTGTCCGCAAAAAGTACAAAACGAATTACGCCGACCTTTTTCTTGTTTGACTTTTTGCACACTAGACAACTGAGTAAGGGGAGGGGATTTGGGGCAGGGACGTCACTAATGACCGTCCCTGCACGGTTAAGGGCCAAGATTTGCCCTCAAAATTTTGTGCGGCTGAAATTATACCATGTAACTTGATTTTCGCGTCAAGTGTGGGGCTCATCACTATCTATTGTGAAAATACATCCTGTGAAAAAAAAATTACGCGATGTACAAAGAAAGTTACGCGCAGTTGATAATGACCAAAACCGCCTGGGACGGTTGCACCTGCAACCGTCCGTACCCCGAGTCCAAGGGGAGGAGGGGGTTATGATGGATGGATGGATAGATGGTACAGGTGCCAGGTGCCAGGTGCCAGGTGCCAGGTGCCAGGTGCCAAGTGCCAAGTGCCAACTACATCTACATGCCTGTTTTGGCTTGCATGGAGTCTCCAATTTACCTAAACAAATCAGCAAACTTATTAGCAACTCGTGTTTGGATTGCATTTTCTAGGATTTTTTGTAGAAAAATTACTGTAACGATTTGATGTATATGAGGAAAAAAGATAATAGGAAAATATGATCACGAAAAACGACATAATTTTTCGACGAAAAAATGGCTGTCCAAACAAAGCTGACAAACTAGTTTAATAAACAATTGCTATGTTAATCAGTCACAAACTTATCTGTTATGTTATGTTATGGATCAGATTATACTAATGGGAGGAGGGGGGGTTGGCTCCAGTATTCCACAACACAAAAGGTATTCAATTATTCATACCCGTCATGCAGTGAGTGTGTTTGGATAGTAAATTATTTGAAATAATTTTATGAAAAAATACTATAACATTTTTTTAATGTAATGCACGTGAAATATAAAGGTAATTAAAAAATATATTAATGATGCAAGCAAATCAGTACATGTAGATAAAGTAAAAATACTATGTAATCCAAACACACTCAAACTAGTGTCGACAGTGTGTTGCTTTCTCTCTCAGGCTCAGCATATTTTCTTTGCTTAATTTTGCAAGTGTTTTTTTCTTTTCGGAAAAAGAAAAGCAATGGAGTAATAATTTTGTTGGGCAGCTAATGCTTTGGCATGCCAATCACTTTCAAGCTTTTGTCATATGGAGTGAGTTAGTTCTACATTTCTATCATTAGCAATATTCGCTTGGAAAATGCACGAATCAGTATTGATGATGCAGAAGCGAAGCCGGAGGACAAACAACCCAAGAAGAGTCAACACAATAATAATAATTTGTCTGTTTGGATTGTGAATTATTAGAGATATTTTTACTGTAGCACTTTTTGTGATGTGATGTATGTGAGATAAAAAAATAATTGAGAAAGTAAAAAGGTACATTGAAAATTATAATGATGATGCAAGCAAATAAATTTGAAAAAATAAAGCCCAATCCAAATTCCAAACAGAGGGGTTCCAAAATCATTTTTACTTTTGTTTTTCTTTTTGGGTTTGGTATTTACTCCTCCCGGCCCTTTGAAGTTTGAACCTTCCTTCTTAGCTAACAGTGGTAGGAGTATACTTATAAAAGCAAAAAGCCAAAAGCCAAAAGCAAAAAGCTAGAAACAGTCAACCTTATCCAAACTTCTTTGAGAAAGTTTGTTTGGTTTAAACATTAATTATTATTAATTCGCCTCTTTATTATATAATATTATTTAAATAGGAGTTTATTTAAGATAATTATTGTAGCATTTTGTGATATGACGTATGTGAGATAAAAAAATAATTTAAAAAAAAATAATTAAAATTTATGCAATAAATTATTTTATTTCAAATCTTCTCAATCCAAACACAATTGATGTTTCTCACATCTTCCAATACTACTGTCAGGATTGCAACAAGTAAAATCATCATCAGTAAACTGTGTGTGTGTGCGTTTTTTTTCCTTGAAAAAGTAAACAGTGTGTTTACCTGCAGGTCCTGCACAAATGCTTTTTTAACAAAATACATAATTTAACAGCTACAATCAGTAATACTAGTGCACAAAGAGGTTAAATTCCTAGTTGTATGTACAACACCGTGACTGGAGTTGCCGATGCATCACTCCTTGCAGTCAGCAACTTTATCTTCTGCCTTGATACCGTCATACATCCCTTACCTTAAGCCTGGCTTCTGTATTGGAATGGAGCGGTAGCTTCGGGCTGGTAGGAACACCGCTGAATTTGCGCACCAAGAAGGCAAAGCATGGCAAGAACAATACATAGAGGGTCCCCAAGATGAAGGGCGCGGCCACAAGCCAGCCTAACAGCTGAAACAATCATCACCGGTACAACGATATAGAAACTGTAAGCAATGTGAACAATGCAGCAACACAATAACAATAATATCATCAGACTCGATCACAAGTCTGAGCAAACAAATTTTCTTGGCCTTTCAGTATTCAATTTTTGCATCAGCTTTGATCGCAAAAAAAAAAAAAAAAAAAAAACAACTAAAGATTAGCAAATCTAAGAGCCAAGTTTGTTTGGATAAGGTTATCAATTTGGATTGCCCAGGGCATAAGATGTCCAGATAACACTGGCAATACTCCCACTAGAAACATCAAAAATCCTCCTATCAGTGCGAAACCACCCCCTTTTTTGGCTCCACCAATTTCAGTCTTCAGCCTGCATACAAGTGCGCTTGAATATTGGCCAAAAAATGACAACAATGCAAAGCACTTGATTCAGCTTTTAAAATGAATCAAGTACTTTAGCATGATGTCAAGCCAGACACTCTTTAAGAGATACCTCAAGAGAACCGAGGTCAATGTTCCTCAAAAGAGAAGGTGATGGGCAGCCCATTCAGAAAAGTCTCAAGTCTTGGGTTTATAAAAAATCGACTAAACCAACCCCCAGGTATTTGGCACTCTCAGATGAGTCAAGACCGATTAAAGATGTGATCCAAATGGAACTTTCTGGGACAGAACTATTATCTATTGCACACACCATTTGTTAAAGAGCGTGATGTTACAATGAAAAGCCTAAGCCATTGCAAATAAAAGTGCAATTTCTTTGCATAGTGTGAGACAGCAATTTCTTAGTACTTTTCTTGTTTACTCCTTGTGATTTTTCCCTTGATACATAGATCACTAACAAGGACATGGAACAAATTTAGAAAGTTCAATGATCAATCATGAGAAAAGGGCCTAGCTCAAAAGCAATTGGTTTCTTCAACTAAACTTTGAATATGTTGGAAAAGAAGAATTACATGAGGTCGTCTTACTTGATGTATCTCCAACTAGTTCAGCAGTCAAACATGTGTGAAATTCTTTCTTTGTCTAAGAAAGGTCCAGTGAAGAAATTAAGTGCGCCTGAAAAGAATGTTTGTCCAATACACCCTCTTATGGTTTGCAAAAGAACATGCCAACACTGATTAGGCACATGTACCACTAGACTGAAGCACCACTTCCTATCAATGATCAGAGATTAAGGCTAATAATAGGAAATGCCGGCACCTTAAATTTAGACCTCACTTTTTCACTTGGTAGAGGTCGTTGCACTTGTCAAAATTGAAGGGCTTTCAAACAGATACCTAACGAAGGACATTAACCATATGTACTACCATCAAACTATGGGGCAAAGGAAGAGGCTAAGAAAAACTTCCACTTATTTGTATCTATTTATCAATCCACAACCCAACATCCACAGATAGATAAAGCTAGGTAGATAAAATGAACAGACTACATACACAAACAACATATCCACAAGCTGACATAAAAGATGAGCTTGGAAATGCCGAGTCAGTTACCCACCGCATTGAAGATGCCCCGCAAGATTTCTCTTGAAGCTTGACCAGTCAAGACCTTCTTCAATGCATCAGAAGTTAGAGGAAAGTGAGGTCCTCCAGTGATGAATTCACCAAAGCGCAAGAAAAAAATTATCAGACTGCAAAACACAGAAAGGTGACTGTCAAGAAATCACAGAAAGTATGGTAAATGGCTAACTCTAAACCAAATGTTAGGGATCCATAATGTATTTGATGAAAAGATTCTTTACAGCACCTGCAGTACTCCATTATTTATTTCAGCTTTTAGATTAGTAAGGTCCATACGTATTAAGTCCTTTTGTTGTCAAGATACACAACGAATGCGTTATGCAATTCCCTGTCAAGAAGTCATGCTCATCTATGCAGGCCTTTGCAAATTTTTACTATGATTTTTCGATGGAGTTGAATAAAGCTTCTCTGCCATTTCTTACCATTGCCAAAATGACTCAATTATCTCCTTCCAAATGACCCTCTTAGGATTCTATAGTTTTCACAATTTCTCTAGCTTTTATTTCCCATCCTTGTTCTTCTTTCCAGTCCTCTGAATCTCCTTTGCTCCTTTTTTAAAAATTATCTACAAGGGCTAATCTGCATGAAGTTACTTACTAATTGTTGCTTTCAACTTCAAAAGGGCACAACATCTCAAACTTATGAAATACATATTTGTAGGAAAAAGCAGCCATTTAGAAAAGAAACTAAAAAAGAAAGGCAAAAGTGACTGTTTTTGAAGAATGCCAAAACATCAAGATAGTAAAGATTAAGTCACTCCTGCTGAGTCGTGTTCTATTTTTGGGTCAAGCACAATTCTGCTCAAATACATGTAATTTAGATGTCTAACAGTTAAAGAAAACAGAGGTATCATCAGTGCATGCAATAGTCCCAAAAATGCATTAAACAAGACAAAGTTCAATAACATGATTCTGCCACCTAAAATGCTATTCAAGTCAATCTAGCACATTACCAGAAACTGGGCACACAGGCAAATTCATCAGAAAGGATGTGAAATTTGAATAGGAAGTTACATAGTTCAGTCCAGGAAGATTTCAAAAATGGGAAATCTAAAAAACAATAAATAAAAAATACACTGCATAATCCACAGGCCTCCTGCGAAAATACATTAAACAGGAAAGGGCAAAGGGGGCAGGGAATCTGTATATTCTTCAATCCATATAGTGCAAGGGGGTAAAATAAAAAATTACCAACTAGAAAAGAATAATTAAACCTCAGCTCGATTGGAGTAGCAACAAAATTAGCCAGCATTACAGTTGGCGCATGACATGAGGATCTGAGTAATGCGATAGCCAATCCACAAAGGAAAAAAGTGACTCCTGCAAAAGAAGATTAAATCCAAGAATTGAGTTGCTAACCCGAGGAATGAAAATTTACCTATTCTCTAACATAGACAACAGCAGAAGTCATGGCAGGGCCCATGAAACGAATTAAAACACATGCGAATCAGTCAAAAATGCAACCAAGTTCCTCACTAAGAAGAAAGTACTCTCGAGTATGACGAATAAACTATATTTAAAAAGAGAGCAATGCCGAAAAGGAAAGAAATGCAGAAAATCCAGTTTGAGATTATGGAATATAACAACAGCACGCGCACAAGGTAATGTGGTCGGATTAAACTGCAGCAGCAAACAAACCATATACATTCCAGGAAAATGCAAAATTTTTCATTCACTAGCTTGCTCAACAGCGCAATTTTGAAACGTTGAAAGTTTGAGGGTCCTCCAGAGGATAATTACTTGAGTAAAAGTGGGAAGGGAAGAAGCAAGGAACTATGAACCAGAGAACATGCTGTGTAGTGGAGATCCTTGATGTTTTGATGGCCGCAACAATGAGATACATGATGCAGTATATAAGGACAATTAAAGGCTTCGAGTATTGATTGTAAAGGGGGATGCAGGTAATACATGATCATCCCTTGAAAAAAATCATGTTGGAGCAGGATGAATCAAAATTAAAGTGAGCAAACAAGTAGGGTAGGAGGAGGTGAGGAAACATACCGCAGATGGGAAAGACACCAAGGGTAATGCCTAGTGCGGCCGAGAAGGCCAATTGCTTAGGCTCTGCTCCCCTAATACATAAACACCAGGTAACAGCCAATTATTCCTACTCCAACCAACAGAAAAGGAAAGGAAAACACAAAACTACTACTCTAATTGATTGCAAAACGGGATTATTCTCTCTTTTTTTTGGTGCACACACACAATCGATTCATTAGAGCAATGGATTGGTAAAAAGAAAGAAAAGCTATGCAAGGTAGGCTCTTTGAGGAAAAAAACAGATGGGAAATCGAAATGGAAAAGTGGAATTACATGCGGAGAATATGGAGGAGAGGATCGAGTAGCTTTTTACGGAACCAAGGAAGCAATCCGATTCTGAATCGCTTCAAGACGTTGGTGTTGGCGTCGCTCACCATAATTTTTTTTTCTTTTATGGTTTTAAAATGATTAGTAGCTGTACAGCTACTAGTATTTCTTCTTCTTCTTCTTCTTCTTTTCAGTATATAATATACATAGTGAGAGAGAGAGAGAGAGAGAGAGAATGGTGAGATACAAGTGTGTGGGGGTGTAGGCTTGAGTAGGGAAGAAGAGATTACAAATCAGAAATGGCAGAGGATAAGGTTATGAATTTATATTGAGTTTGGCAGATCCCGGGGATGAATCAGAAAGCCGCATGAAATGAAATGGGCGCTGCAACAAATAAAAGCTTCTATGGAGATTTGTGGAAACAATTTGGGTGGGGAATATATATATATATATATATAGAGGATGGAGTTTCTATTATTAATGTGTCTGAAATCCCAGAAATGTTTAGCTGCTGGGGGGGGAAGAGAGAGAGAGGCAGTGCGTGTGATGTTGGAGCTAAGAAAAGCTGAGATTTTGTTGTTTGTTGTTTTTTTTTTGGGGAATCGATCAGTTTTTGAGTCGACAGAGGAGTCAGGGAGGGAAGAGATGAGACAGCATTCCATTCAAGAATCAAGACCTCCACCGCAGCAACAGCAGCAACCAAACCTCCACCGCGGGCGATACGTTGCTTGCAGGAAAGGAAGAACTTAGCGGACAAACAGAATCAACTAAACGACGCCGTGAGTGAGCGGTGAGCACCTCACCGATCAATATCATCTCCCCTTCGTCTAGCCTCTACTGGGGACTATTATCAGTATAACAATCTGCCCCCAACCCAACCACCATCCATTCTACTGCTAGCACAAAACCCACACTATAACTGTCTTAACAATTCTGAAGAGACAAGCGAAAGGATATGACACAATCTTAGATTTTTTTCGCTGCAGGTGAGATTCTCACCCTCACCTACACACCTACAACCCAAAGAGGAACTTCCTTGTGGCCACTGAGCCATTACCCAGTGGTTATACATGATGAGCATCAATTGCAAGTTTACGTAACACCATTGAATTTGTTTCTAATGCGTCCACCATAAGTTATAATTTTTTTTTTTTTTTTTGGGTTGTGCTCTCTATCCCAAGTAGCAGTACTTTTTCAAGTCTCTAACACTGAATGGACCAACAATTTTTTTCTGCAATTGGTTAGCATTCTGTCAACATAATCACATTTTTATCCCATCATTCATCATTTGTTGCTCTCCTCTCACATTCTTTCGACAAACTTATCAACTCTCTTCCTATTCTTATCAAGAAAATGTATTATTTGTATGTCTACCCACAAGTTCATTTGGATCACGCCAAATCAACCCACTCAAAAATTTAAAAGTTCATGTTCATGCGAGGAGGAGGCATCACCAGTCCAAGTTCGCAACAACTTAGGATGGCAAACCTCCTTCTGTAACCTGCTTCAGGGAATTCACAACCTAACCAAGCTAACGTGGTTCAGCAGGTACGAAAAAAATTATTCAACAACTCCTACTAGCATTTTTGTGCAGATGACTTCCTACTCCGCTCTCTCTTTATACTCTGCATCCATGTCTACATAATAAGAGTAACATCTGCAACACGCAGAGTACATGCATTCAGCTATTGCGACTTTCAGGATGACAAAGAAAACCCTTCCTCGAGACACTCTGTTCTCATGTTCTGCATAACTCTCTGAAACAATGTGGGATTGCTAGTAACCACTGCATCAACGTGCTCAAATAACATTTTTTGCATGGAGATCTCATCATCCACAGTCCAGGCGTAAACCTTTTTTTTCCTCCTGTTACAATAAGTATGTATTAGTACATTGAAAGAGTCTTCCAACATTTTGACAAGGACAGGACTAGCATGCACATACAACAGAACAAGTATATCTAAGGTCACATAATTATGACTAATCCCACAAAAATCGAGCTCCGTGAAATTTGAGACTGGCTGCATCCGAATCTGCAGTAAAAAAAGAAATCAAAAAGTAAAGATGCCAACTATCGTCTGTAGCTAAACATACCCATGCAGAATTTTTACAAGCTTCTCATCAACCAAAGGGTGGTAAACACCAACCACTTCAGCACCCCTCATCCTCAGTAAGTTCATTCTAGTTCCAGTTGACGGGTTGATCATCACAATGTAGCCCACCTGTCAAACCACCATATATCATGATCCCAATTTTCATCATTCAGCACAACATCCATTGCGGACTCTACGTAATTATAACCACAGCAAAACGTGCTTAGCTTTTTAGCCTTAAGAAGAAGTGCTTCAAGAGCAAAAGGACCGAATTCTCTGTACCAGTAAGGACAATATGAGATAATCTTTTGCCTAAAAGCACCCCACTCCCAAACCACTGCATATAGATATTCTCTGAGACATCAATGGGAATTTTAGATGGGAACTAGCAAGGCAACAACCTGGTTAGGGTTTGCAAAATTATAAGTGTGCTTGGCAGGAACGGGCAAGTCAGGCAACATAGAATGTCTCGCATGGTAGAAGTGAGGAACCATACCCAACTTCAACAGGTAACTGGAAAAATCAGAATGAGGGATTAAAAGTTCATTCACTGCCAGGACAGCGAAAGGCGGTAAGCTAAAGAAACAAGAAAAGGGGCCAGTAAGCATTGAATATCAGAAAGAAGAGCAGGAAACTATTAGACTGGGTACCCTTTTGATTGGTTTATTAGTCTCAGTAAAAATGCATGGTTGTTAGTTCCACCAATTGCACGACAGCAGTCTCCATTAAACTTATGAAATTAAACAAAGCAAATTGAAAAAGTAAATCAGTTAAACGAGCTTATACCGTAACATCAGCTGATAGCTTGATCAAGTCCCTTGCTAGAGTGTCACTTTTGGCCCATACAAGGCAATTTTTACACACTGTCTTTTCCAGCTGCAGAATGTTAATGCAATTGCAGAGGAAAGATCAACAAAAGACATGTTTGCAATAAAAAACAATATATTTAAACGAAATGACATGAATGTAATGGGATGCAATCTCAAGTTTGCTGAAAGAATGGAAGAATTTGTTTCATGTTCCCAGTCCCTAGGACAGCAAAATATCTTAATTTAGCTATTTGCAGTAAACTTAGCATTAGTCAAGACCGGTCGGTGAAAGTCTTGCTTGATGCATAACAAACCAATTTCATAATTTCAGTAATATCTCATCATGTCGATAGTGCAAAAGGAAATAACAGCCAAAAACCATGTTGCCTGAATGCCAAAGGCAGATAGTCTTCAGACCACATACATTCATTTAATGATCTTTTTCTGTTAAAATGCCACAGAATGCCCCAAAACCAACAATTCCACCTGCTTAGCAACTGCTATAACTCGCAACTCAGTAATCAAGCAAACCCTTCCTCTACTTCTCAATTTCAGCCACTATATCTAGGTAATATTACCAGCAAAAATGAACATACACTATCAGAACTATATCAAGCATCACGAATAACATATTATGCATGTTTTGATATTAAACATACCAGAGAAATAATATCCTGTGCCAGTCCTTTTTCGTATGATGGAGGCCCAACTTTTGCATCAAGAATTACTTCTCGAACCGATCCAGATACAAACTAAAGATCATAAGAAGCCAAACTTATGAAGATATTCCAGGACTCTCCTCTGATTAGCAAGAGTCTTATGACGTCCAATTGATTGTAATGACAGTAGACATACTAGGTAGCAAAAATTTTCCTCTTTAATGGCAGCTGAGAAAATGGAAACATTTCCTCTTCCTGAACTACTTCCCAAACTTCATAGCAGAAAAAGAAAGGGGATAGAGAGAGAGAGAGAGAGAGAGGCAGGAGGAGAAGCAAATTTTCATATTACCTTCAATGCATCTTCAATTGTAGGAATGGATAGATCATGAAACTTCATTGCAAGATGCTGGTTCGGAACCAGTTCTTGAATCTACAATCACAAACTAAAACATGATCTGGTTTGTATATGCAGTCGCTTGGCATCTTGACTGACAAATACAAATTGGAAAGGAAACATGCAATCTCAGAGTTGGAAAGTGAGCTTCTACATATCTATCACAAACTTCAAACATTTTGTACATGGTAAGGAATTCTGAAGAAACATGTTAGACGAAGAGAAGTTATATTCCAAACACCTCGTTATTAGAGTAAGTAACTAGTAAAAACAAGCAAACATTTGAAACCATGCTCAAACTATGTAAGCTTGCAGCAGATACAGTATGGTAATTTGAAGTTCCAAATCTTCATAAATTCCAAAGATATCACAAAGGTTCAATTCCAAAGAACCCAAAAGAATGAGAATGCAAGTATGTTTTGATGATAAAAAAATACCCAGAGACTGTAAATTCTTATTGATGTTAGAAAATTTTAAATTAATCAAAAAGAACATTTCACACCTCTTTGGTACTCAAGTATCCAACTCTAGACGTACTGTTCCCCAATATTCGCTGCAAATCCCTGCCTGTAATATGTGAGAATCAACTTCCCATACAGTTTTGAGTGAAAAAAGTAGGATGTCGATAAATAGATGATCCCAAATAATTACCCAATCTGTCATTGTTAAATCACAGTAAAAACAACTCATGTATCTGCAAATTCTTCTGTCCATTCACATGTAACAGAAAGAATATAGCTGCTAGCATCAGTGGTAATAAATAGTTCATCTACGTTCTACCATTTTGATGCATTTTTCCAGTGAAAATATCCAATCCTTTCTGAGTTTGCAACTTGCATCTCTCTCTATCTAAGCTTCTGGTCCAAAACATCAAAGTATATAAGAAACAGATTCAACACTAATAAATCAGTAAGAAAGCTGGGGAGGGGGATTTTTTTAACCTTTCAAACTGCTTAAAATGAAAGACTTCTTATTTAGCAGCATGTGCCCAGTATGCTAGAACATAAGAAACCTACTATTCCGATGTTTTGATTCTCAGATTCATAAAATGAAAATGAGAATACTGTTAACAACAGTGCAAGAAGAAGTAACACATGCAAATGCACTTTGCCCTGTTAGTAATCCAAAAAGCAATTTGAAATGCTAATAGACTTTGCCACGATATTTTTTTCTTCAATGATGATATATCTTCAACTTTTCTTAAAATTTTCAATGATAATATGTCTTCAACTTTTCTTTCTTCGATAATGATATAACTTCAACTTTTCTTCAAGCACAACATTCAAGTACCTATTCATCATTCCGAGTGAAACCTTTTAAGTAGCTCAGAACTATGCATGTTTATTTTAATGATCATGAATTAGTTTGGGTTTTCACATTCACCTTTGACCCACAGAATTGTCTATCCACCTTTAAAAAAAAAAAGACTGTTGTAAGCGGAGCTTATCAAAATCTGGGAGAACATATCCTACACCATGAACAGAACTGTGATAGAAGTTCCTTCCAGCATCTTCTTTATTACCATGCAAATGTACTAAGTCCTGTCTCAGAGAGTTGTACCATTTTATTTCTTCATGTCATCATTCTGTAGCTTACCAAAGAAGGAAAATAAAAACTAATACCTAATGCTAAAAGATGTGCCATACAATAAATCTGCCTGAAACAGGCAACCAGAAAATCTATGAATTGAGGAAATAGCAACATAGTGATCACCAATGAATTCAAACATACATCCACCATGAAATTGAGAACAGTTTAACCATTTTCAAAGAATCAAAGCTCATAGATACCTGTCATGAAGAGCAAACAATCCCCCATCCAAAGAACGAGAGACATCAATTTCAATGCAATCGACTTGAGAACGAAGAGCAGTTTGATATGCATCCATCTAATCAAAGATAAAAATAAAGACTCAAGCTCAAAACACAAATCTCTTTTTGTCTTCTTTTTTCAATTTGAAATCCATATATTTTCTCCTCTCTTGTCCTTGTATGTGAAGCACACAATTCAAGACCTTCTCTGAATCTAATTCAAATAGAAAGCCAAAAATAAATAATGTACTGAATTAATTAAAAGGAGGAAAAACGCCATATCGCATTTTGGAAGTTTCTGATAAATTGAAAATGAATAATAACAAAAAGAAACATTTTTTGGAGGTGTCCTGCGACATGGTTAAGAAAAGGCACATAATGTTGGCTTCTATGGTATGGCAATTTTTACGTGCTACAGAAGAGTGCAGGTTTCCAGCAGTTTGGAGTGAGACATGATTCCGACTACAGCTACTAGGTTATACACTAAAAAACCTCCTCTTCTTCCTTCCTTATTTTTCATCCACAATGTTTGTCATTTGGATCAGCACAAGAATTCCTTTCATATTGACCAAATTAGGGGATAAAAATGGAGATGGTCATATTGTCTAAACATTATATAGACACCAACTTCTTGGGACCATGGAAAAATTGTGATTAGATGGGGGTGGAGTTATGCTTACTGTATTAGGGAAGGCCTTGGAGGAGTCACCACCATGAGCACATACAAGAGGAGGATTTCTAAGCCAACGGCACCTGCGAAATTGCATCTGCATAAAGGAGGTCAACAGTAAAGACCAACAATAGTAACCATCAACATAACTGAAGTCTGATATCTAAAGACTGAAACTCAATTACTAAAGTCTTAATTTGCTGAATCCACAACGTCAAATCTGTTTGCTAACCAGCTAAATGCGAAGACCAAATTGAAATATTTTATTTCACGTGTATTATATGGTTGAATAGTAATATTATGGTTTTAAGTCTATATTTTATCAATTTCTTTAATATGACTTTTTGACCCCAATAAACTGCTTGCAAATATAGAAAGTGTATTTTGTGTGTGTATAAGAGAGTGTGTATTTGATGGAGAGATTATGTTTAAAAGTGTGCGTTACTGAAAAAAGTACATGTAGGAGAAAGAGTGTGTGTGAGAGAGAGAGAGAGTGTGTATGTGTGAAGTGCGTCCGTTAAATAGAGAGAGTATTTAATATGTGTGAAAGTGTGCGGAGGCGGGGGAGAGAGTGTCGGTGTGTGAGAGAGTGTGTGTGGGTCTAAGAGTGCGTGCAATAATTTTTTTGGATGAATTTATTACAGTTGTTCAACAATTCAGCCAATTAAGTGATACAACTTTCACTTAAAAATTTTGTATACAAATTAGGTGGTTCTTAATAATACACAAGCTTAATAGAAAAAAGCACTTAATACATTAATTTTAAGTAATTATATAAAACACCCCCTAGCCAAGTCTGTCTTTTACAATCTCATCCCTTATAAAGATGATGCCATAAGAATTTACTCAACTGTCTGTTAAAAAAAATTCACGAGTTATATTTCCAAGAGCAAATTTAGTCTGCAGATTTAGTTAATGCAAAGAAGTGGTGAAATTTTGAAATCGAAGACCAATATTAACATAGTCCTTTTGCCTTTTAGTGTTAGCTTCAATACAACACAATCAAGGACTTTAACATAATGACAAATGCTTCGCATTTGGTACTACTTTAAATCTATTATTCATGGTGGAGAATCAACAACAGTAAGAGGTATCCTTCCATAATTATTGTTGTGCCTTATGAACTCCAGTACAAAAACAACCACCACAAAAATAATACGTAATAATAATTGTCTGATGATACCAAGAATTAGTTTTTGGAGATGTATGCGATCAGATTATGATGCTCTGCTTAGTAATTGATAGTAGTACAAAGCAACATATAGTGCTCATGAAAACTACAGTAACTTTTTTTTCCCCTATTGTTTCTTTTTCGCAAAGCACCAATTTTTTCCAGATCAATTATCAATTTGATTTGCTTAATCTTCCAGAAATAAAAATGCGACTAACCGAAACATCTTGCCATTGAAAAGAGAGAGAGAGAGAGAGAGATAGATTTGGTCAAAGTTTGGATCTTGAAAACAAATGCTAGTGAAAATGAAGGACGCGGTTACCTGATGGAAGCGTCGGAGCTTGAAATGGAAGAAAAGAGGTGGTAAGATGGCGATAAATGCTAGGGCAATGAGCAGCCATCGGAAGACGATGTTTCTTCTGATGGTGGAGGGGAAGGGGAGGAAGGGGGGCCATCTGCGATGAGTCCTCCGGACTCCTAGCAGCAGCTGCGGACGCTGCCTATTCCATCTTGATGAGGATGCTGAGATCGCCATAATCTACTTCTGCTGCTGCACTACTGCTCACTCCTCATTATTACTAGTAATCGTTTCCGATATTGCACTCATATGCAAACGTTATGAGGGCCTAAATTAACAACAAAACCAAATTATATATGCTTGGGCCACACTATAACGTCTTTCTAGTCGAATTTTGCTCCACCTTTTTCTTTCCTCTCTTTTTTTGGATTGGGGGGTTTGGGGGAGCTGCGGCTAATTGCAATTGAACTGCTGCTGGACAGAGTGCTACCGCATGGCCAAGGAAATTGTTTTTTATTTACCAAAAGGTCATATTGTGTTTGGATATATTATTTAAAAAAAATTATTTAGAATAACACTTCCTAAGAGTTTAATATTTTTTTGATATGATATATGTAAAATAAAAATGTGATTAAAAATGATGCGTAGTATGCAATTTTTTTTTTTGGCAAATTATGCTACTGTTAGATATAGTAGTATCTCATAGCCAAGCAAATTATTTCTTATCAAAAGGTCATATATCTTGCTATGGCTATTGGGCATGTAGAAGTGCATCCAAAGAGGAAAAAGCATTTTTAAAAAAAGGGAGGAGTTTGGGTTATGAAAACCAATTTTTTAATTTGAATTGGAGAGTGAATCGGAAACCTTTCGATTCAATCGATTCGATTTCGGTTCAAAGGTTTAATAATTTTTTATTTATTTTAGTATTAAGAATTTTGAATAATATCAAAATATTTACTTTAACATAAATATTTAATAAAAATTGTTTGAACCTTCCGATTTTTATCGATTCAACCGGTTCTTGATCAGTTCAATTAATTCTTTGAATTTTTAATTGAACCAGATCAGAGACATGACCAATTGAGATTTGCATTTCAATCGGTCAAATCGATTGATCCGATCCGATTTTCAAAACATTGATGGAAACATTATCGTTACTTCGACAAAATTTGGAAATAGAATCTCAATCTCTCATGCCAAATTTTGAACAAATCATCTCCGAAATAACTATGGCAAATTGGCAATGCTCGTGGCACGATGCAAATTCATTCACACAATCCATAGCAATGTAGTACTTCACACACGTCTCGTCTCTACTCACTAATTTTCTCAATTGATTGACTAACTAACTAATACTACTATAACATTTAAGTCAATCTCAAACAAGAATTCTTTGAGCTCCATTAATTAATTCATTAGGAGACCGCTTACTTTCCATAATTTCATAATTTGTTTAACCCTGTGAGTATAATCGAGCACCTAACAAATCGGAGAATGTGGTGTCAAAAATGGGGGGAAAAAAGGAAAGGCAGAAGCTCCTCCATCTGCCCATGCTAATGCCTAATGGTAGTGTGGTATACTAGTATCATCATGCTGGCCGTTGATTATATAAGTAATGTATCTCGCTAGCATGCACCAATATCTCACAACGGAACCAAATTCCTCTTCCCTTTTTTTCCCTCCAAATTCAGTCTCACTCTCTCTCACACAGACGCAGGCAAGCCTTGCAGAGCTACAGAATTCCTTCTTTGTGCTTTCCTTAATTCGCTTCATAATTCCAAGAGTTCACCCATCCCTGTCTGGTAACTGTCTTACGCCCGATTAATTTCGTCTTTGATTCCAGATTGAAAAGCTTACAGATTCTTATCCATAACAACTTCTCAATTAAACTTTCCATTTTTACTCCTTCCATACTTTCCTCACTTTATTTTTTTGGTTGTATGGATGCGATTGTATCAGGCATCGAAAAAATGGAGGATTATTTGCAGTATATGAGGACTCTACGCACTCAAATGACCGGTTCTCTTCCTACTGTGTTTTCTTTTTAATTAACCTTTTTTTTTACTCTGACTTTCGTCCAGAAATTTTCAATCATTCCCAAATTTCGGACTACTATATGAAGCTAAATCAACTTTCATTGCGATTTTGTGTTGATTGCAAGTTTGGATGCGTAAATGTTTCTTCTTTAGTTATCGTTACGTAATTTCTGGATTTAACAATTTCAGAGGTGGAAGATCAAGCGACTAAGCTATCGGCACAACAGCAAATCCACCTCACTACTATTCGGAATGTCGAAAGAGACCTCGATTTTGGTAACTGTCTCTCTCTCTCTATCTGGCCTTGTATTCCTCTTCGCTCTGTAGAAGAAGCACATAAATTTTTGAAAAAACCATATTGGATGATTTTTTTTTTTTTTTGCCAACTTTCAGTTTTTTGTCAAGTTCGTACTGTTTGAAGTGGTACTGGTGGGTAAAATCGCATAACTGCCACAAAATTAGGATTCGTAAATCGTACTTATGTTACACAAGAGCTCGTATTGCAGCAAGATTTTTTTTTTTTTTTAAATTGCAGTAAAAGATCTGTTAATGCTTGTTGTCTCTTTTATTAGTTATTCATAGTATTGTTACTAGAGGCTGTTCGGGAACAATGAAGTTACTTGAGTCTTCATTGATTATTGATACTAAACTATAGCAGCTCAAGTTACGCTCACACTATCATTGAGGTAATGAATCCTACTATTGGTTGGGTTGCATTGACTCTAGTTGTGTCTAACATGTATTCGTTTCAGTGTTTCATAGGATGGGGCTCAGTGCTCATCTTCTCCAGGATGCCTCACAAGTCATGATAAACATGGCAAAACAAAAAACAGGGAAAAAGAAAAAATAAAGATATAAATGGCTACATCATTAATGATCTTTTACTTGTAAATTTCAACTTTGGTAAAAGACATCTTAGGTCCTAGTCTGGAAAAATTAGCATCACTAAAAAGAACGTAACCAAAGACCATGGAGGGGCTAGTGAATTGAGTTCGAATGGAACTGTGTATAATGTCTAAAGTAAGATATTCAAGGTTTTCAGAAGTTACACGAACAGGCAAATCTACTAATTTATTTTTTATTGCGTCCTTCTTTTTAATTAAATTTCTCAACTGTGTTGCTAACTCTTCTGCTATAACTTCTGGGTGAAGCTCACTTTACTTTTTTCAAACTCAGATAGAATGACGCCTTCCAGTATTTCCCAATAGATTTTTTGTTTTTTAAATAGTAGAACGTGTATCCGCATCTGATGGGAGCTACGTGATTCTAATTATGCATTTTCTTTACATGCATTGCGGGTTGTGGAGATACTAGTTTCTGTTTCTGTTCCAGATTCTGGTAGAAATGAAGTTGGTTCTGGATATAATTTATTCTTATATCAGTATCACAGCCAGCTTAAAATTCTGTGTCTATTATTTTATAATATTTTAGTTCCTGTTAATCTTGGAGGTTATGTAAGGCACCACAAATATTTTCTTTCTCAATTGACTCTTTAACTACTTAATGCAGTGAAAAATGAGACAAAGCGAGTTATAGAGGAAAAAGATCGCATAATGAAGGAGAAGGGACTAATCTGTTCCCAGATTCTGGAAAAGCAGAGGAAAATAACTTCATTGGAACTAGATTCATCTACACTGAACCAGGTTAGTTATCTCTTGTGGCTTGTATGCTGAGCTTTTTAGGTTGAAGTGGTGCTAAAATCTGCTTATAGCCCTCCTGTTTAAAAACCCCCTGCCATCAAATATAAAAAGGAAAAAAAAAAAGGTAAAAGGGTACAGGCTACCTGATTAAAGAATAAAATAAAACAGTACTCTATGCTGGAGAATGTTGCTGCTTTCTGGCACCCCTATTTTTGTGATGAACTAATGGTGATGATGTTAGTTGATTTGGAGATAGCAGTACGCAGTGTAATACGTTGCCTTGCTACCCCATTGCAATTGGATCTTTCATGTTTTTAAATTGACACCCTTTAATTCCTTGTACCTTTCATTCCTCTTAAGATCCAAAATCACTTTCTCTATATTCTGTTCCAAACTACCACTTAGCTAATTTTCTGTTTTCGTAGCAAATTGGTCTCTTGGATATCAGCCTGGTTGATCATTTAGTAGTTCTTTCATTTTATGTGTATCCCCTTTCCAAACCTTGTTTTTTTATAGGAAATTCATTGGGAGTAATAAAATTATGCCATTATATTTGTTTTCTGGAAAATGCTTACTCCTATGACTAGTGATATACCTGCCCTTAAAATCAACCTGTTAGATGCAGTCAAAAGTCCGGATACTATATCCTTGCACGCAACATGCATGTACATAGTGAAGTTCACTGTGAAGAATATGGCTGTGTCCTTTATAATGATACCTTTGAATAGGTAGTGTTTCTTATTCTATCATATGTTGTAGGCAGAAACTGTTAATTAGAAAGAAGAGGCTAGCAAAAAGGTGGGGAAAGTTATGAGGATGGATCTACTTGGTCACTTCTCTTCACTTTAGAAGGAATTGATTTTGTCATGATAGACAACACAATGGGTGACGGAAGATAAATTGTCAAGTTGTGCTTGTAGTAGTATTAAGTAAAAGATTGAGCTAGGAATTTGAAGAGTTTGTTTTGCCCCAAAGTATTTTACTGTTCAACTTTGAGGCCAATTCGAAACAGATGACTAATGTTTAAGCAAATAGGTTGTACCTAATTATTTTGTTTATGTGGGACAATTTCTGTAGTTTTGTTTATATTACTGCACATGACAATCTGGCTTTGCATATTCCTGATTTGACCAGGTAGTTGAGATTAAATCAAATTTATTGCCATTATAACCTTAAGAGCAAATTTTAGTGCTAGTACCTTGGATGCAACACAAAAATAGTAGTTTGAAGATACAGAGTAGAATTATTCCATTAACTAACTAACTTTTCTCTCACATGAAAGCATGTCTTATTCCTGATCAGATACTACACAGACTAGAGGAACCTTGCCTTTTCCTAAGACTATTTCTAGATAATCACCAAATAATTACCTTGTCAGCCTAGACATTAAAAGTTATTATATACAGAATAAAACAACCAATCTCCAATATAAGGTATTTGAGCAAATTTAATTATTATATCCTTTTGATAGCATCATGGTGCTTTTTACAGACACTGGACCTGATGCAACATGAAAGAGTCACCCAGTCAACAAAATTGCTTGAGAAAAGGTAATTTTAAAGAGTTCTTTTTTATAAAGCGTGGGTGGTTAATTTTATAAAGTTCTAGATCAATTTGGTTATGATAACAGATCATAGTGTACAAAGGAAACGTGATTTTGAATGAATTTAGTTTTCATGACAGCTCATATTACACAAAGGTTGCTGGTGATATTATTACAGAACTCAAAGATCAACAGGTTTGACACCTCTACTATGTCATCCAGAGTTGGCATGCTGTATTTATTATTCTGATCCCTGATTGAATACTTTTCC